GAGTGTGAGATGGATTCAACAGCAGGGAAGCTATCCAGGGCTGGCTTTCAGATGGTGGGGGCCATGGGACAAGGACTCAAAAGTGACCTCGGGCCAAGAGCCCCAAAGGAAACGGGGGCTCCAGTACTGCAACCCCAAAGAACTGCACATTTCAACAAACTGCATGAACTTGGAAGAGGATTATTCTCCAGAACCTCCCTTGAGATACTCTCCAGGCTCTAGTCCTCTACACATTCTCCTCTTTCTGGAACGCTCTATCACCGGAAGGCTCGCTTCAGTCAGACAGCTGCTCAAACGTCATCTCTTCAGGGATGCCGTCCTGAGGCATATCATGTGAAATGGCACCTCCGTCACCCCTCTCTCTTTATCATGCTTTATTTTTCGTTGTAAAACTTCTAACTCCCTGCCATCATGTTACCTGTCTGTCCATTTCTCTGTTGTCTTTCTGATGCCCGCTAACTTGCCGGTAGGGCTAAGACTTCGTTTGGTCACTCTCTCTATCCCTGAGTCCTGAATATCACTTGGCAGACATTTATTGAATGAAAGGGTAAAATGAAGAACAGATAAGCCAATCAATAAAGAAGGACATGCTTTTTAAAAATTAAAAACAACAGCAGCAGATTGAGAACAGAAGAGTCTCCTTACTCTCAGTCGTGGATCCTCTCATTCACACTTCAGAGCTACAATCAGGCTTGTAAGTTCTTAACTGCTGGTCGTAGATGGCACTGAAAATGACTGCTGGACTGATCCTGACGGGTTCTAGTTCTGCTGAATGTCCTTCGGTGGGAGCAGATGTCCTCTAGAGGTCCTATCCAATTGCATCAGGATGAGACACTGCAGTCCTTGGTTTTCAGAAACATTGCTTTTGGGAGTAACAAACCAACAGTGGTTACAACATCAAGCATTTTTTATGGTAGTCACAACAGAAAGCTGAAAAGACTGAAGCCCTATCCCATTCCTGAAAAGTTGTAGTCATATAAAAAACTAATTGTTCCTGAGTGACTTAAACATCTTAATTTGCTGTATTTCCATAAGTTTTAAACCTTGGGATTGACTTGAGTAAGTGAGATAAAGTCCACAAGTATGATTTAGTAAAACAAAACAAAAGAGTTAGCTTCCTTCCTGAGAATGCCCAATAGACACTCCTCTGCCTACATATCCTTGACTATTCAGTTAAAACCTGTATTTTAAAATTATATATGAAATCTGAAAGTAAACTCAAAACATTTGAGAAATAAGACAATCATGCCTAAATAATGTAAACATTTTTCTTCCTGGTAAGATACATACTGTCTGTATGACCCTTATTGAAGAAAAGAAAAAAGTTATCACATTTTCTCATAAGGATCTGAGCTTTATTCTAATATAGCTTTTATTTGTATGAAACATAAGTTGATGGTATCAGGAAAGACAGGGATTGATAAATGTAAACCCCAATGAAAGGAAAGTGATGGTGATGAGAAGGATAATAATGGGAGGGAGAAAGGAAGTGCAAAAAAAAAAAAAAAAGTGTTTTCTAGTAACAGAAGAATAGGAATAAACAGCCAAGGTTTGGAAATAATTTAGAAATTGAAGTTATCTTAAAGAAATAACCATTTGGTGAATTTCTGGACAAGTTCACTATTAATAATTATAGATGAGAGATTTGTCCCTGAAATTTAAAATACAACCAACTAGAATAAACCTGGTTTAGTTAGAGAAGGAGAAAAATGATTGGTCTGGGGAGTTATCAAGGTAGAGCCAAGAAACTAGGTCGATGTGTTAGGTTGAGCCTATCCGTATTCCAAAATGAAACACTGTGCCTTTAATTTTTCTACTATGTATTTTTTTTTTCAAAAAAGGAAAGCTTGCATTTTCTGAAATGCGATTGTATTTAAATGACTAGCAGACAAAAGTGCTGATAAATCAGTCTAGAGAAGAATTATTGAACATAAAAAGAATGGGGCAAGGACCTAAGATCAAGTCCTAAGAATTGGCGCCCCGTTGTTTGCTAAGCCACCTACAGACCTAACAAACACGAAGTCACTTTGGGTTGTAAGTCAAAGACAACCAAGTTGAGCAAAATAGCAATATACTGGGGTCCCAAAGTAGGATGGAGGAACTGAGCTGGGGGCAGGGCAGATGTGCAGCCGAACGTGGGACTCAGACCCCTCCCGGATTCTCTCCCTTTCTTCTGCTTCTTCTCTACTCATCATCTTCATTTAATCTCCCGGCAGCAGCTCCAGAGATTCAGCTGATGGTCGATCGCTAGCTTCACAACTGAAGTTTCCCTCAGAAGAGATCAGCGGTGTCTCTTCTTCAATCCCAGCTGGGAAAACGCAAGGGGAAACTCTGATTTGACCTTGCTTGGGTAATTCAACATTGACTGAGAAAGGGGGCGCCAAAGCAAACAGCAGCTCCGACTGAAACCACACACCTAACAGCGGCTTGTGAATGTTGGGGAAGTAAAGGATGAGAAGAGATCAGAGAGCAGTTTATCATAGGATAATTCAAAAAATAAAAGGATGCTGTTCCCAGAAAAGTGGTGGTATCAAGGATCTGTCAAAAACCTATTGCACTGATAAAGGACTTTGGCAAAGTCTCGGGGTGCAAAATAAATGTGCAAAAGACAGTTACATTCCTAGACACCAGCAACAAGCAGGCAGAGACCCGAATTAAAAGCACAATCCCATTCACAATAGCCACCAAAAAAATGAAATCCCTCGACATCTTCCTAACCAGAGAAGTGAAAGACCTTTACAATGAGAACTACAAAACACTGCTCAAAGAAATTCAAGAAGACAAAAATAAATGGAAAAATATTCCGTGCTCATGGACAGGAAGAACAACATTGTTAAGATGTCCATCCTACCAAAGGCAGTCTACAGATTCAACGCAATACTCATTAAATTACCAACATCATTCTTCTCAGACCTGGAAATGCCAATACAGAAATTCATAAGGAAACATAAAGGACCACGAGTAGTTAAAACAATCCTTAGCAAAGAAACAAAGCAGGAGGTATCACATTTCCACACTTCAAGCTTTACTATAAGGCTACAATAATCAAAACAGCCTGGTATTGGTACAAGAACAGGCATATAGACCAATGAAGCAAGATAGAGATTCCAGAAGTAAAACCTCAATTTCTCAACCAACTTATCTTTGACAAAGCCTCCAAAAACAATCACTGGGGAGAGGAGAACCCATTCGGTAAATGGTGCTGGGAAAACTGGCTGACCACATGCAGAAGATTGAAACAGGACCCCTACCTATCACCACACACAAAAATTAAGTCTAAATGGATCAAAGACCTAAACATAAAACCTCAAACTATAAGAATCTTAGAAAACGCAGGAGACACCCTTATGGAAATTGGAACTGGCAACCAATTCCTGATCAGAACCCCAAGTGCCCATACCATAAGAAATAAGATAGACAAGTGGGACCCCATCAAACTAATGAGCTTCTGTAAAGCAAAAGAAACCATCAAGAGAGCAGGTAGACAGCCTACAGGAAGGGAAACATATATTTGCCAACTATATATCTGACAAAGGCCTAACATCTAGGATCTACAAGGAACTCAAATGCATTGAAAGGAAAAAAACAGCCCCATTAAAAAGTGGGCAAAAGACATGAATAGACACTTCTCAAAAGAAGATATAAGGACAGCCAACAGACACACGAAAAAGTGCTCAGCTTCACTCATCATCAGAGAAATGCAAATCAAAACCACATTGAGATACCATCTAACCCCAGTACGAATGATCATCATTAATAAAACAGCAATAGATGCTGGCGATAACGTGGAGAAAAAGGAATGCTTCTACACTGCTGGTGGGAATGCAAACTAGTGCAACCTCTTAGGAAGACAGTGTGATGATCTCTGAAAGAACTAGAAATTGACCTTCCATATGACCTGGCAATTCCCCTATTGGGAATATACCCGGAGGAACTCAAGACATTCTACAAAAAAGATTCCTGCACATGTATGTTTGTTGCAGCTCTATTCACAATAGCAAAAACACGGAACCAACCATGCTGCCCATTAAAGCTGGACTGAATTTAAAAATTTGGCACATATACACAATGGAATATTATGCAACCATAAAGAAGAACAAACATATGGACTTCACAACAACTTGGATGGATTTAGAGTCTAGCATACTCAGTAATCTATCAGAAACAAAGAACTGAGTTCCATATGTTCTCACTCATAAGTGAACCTTGAACAATTATAATGCTATGAGAAAGTGATTAGCAGTAGTGGGAAACTTTCAGGAGAGGGGGGTGGGGTTGGCAGTTGAGGGAAACTGCTAGGGGAAGGAGGGGCATACCTCATCAACAAGGGTACCTGCATAATCAATGTTTGTATACTTAACCCTGAATTGCACCCCACATCTTTATAATAAAAAATAAATAAAAAGAAATAAATAATAAAATGGCTGCCAAACATAAAAAATAAGTGGGAGTATCTATGCAGATTAAAAATTTTAAATGTACCTATCAGTCATCTCATAAAGATGCTGGAAAGACATTTTCATCTTCTGGATATATTTCAAGGTAAAAAGTAAACTTTTGTGCCAGTGTTTCTTATGGTGAAATGGGTCAGTTGCTCCAGAAATGGACATTTTCCAGCTGTTTGAGACAATGAATAGTGCACCAACTCAATAATCCATCATCTGGAGAGGCATCTATTGTAGACTTTAAATCCCTGGGACCCCGTGATGATGCAGGTTTTGCTAATCTCCAGGTAGCCCTAGGATATTTCATCTTCTGCTACCAGCTGAGCAAACGGCTCTGGGTGATTCTACTTCTCTTGTTGATTCTTCAGTCAAGAAGATTCACAATCAGTCCATGACAATGACACAGGAACATTTTGTTAGAAAATCTGAGTGTTACTGATGACATCAACTCAAAAGTGCTATTGCTTTTATTACCCATTATAAATCATTCACCCACTGGTTTATTTTTTAGAGCTATCTATGTTTCAATTTGACATCAAGTTTTAGAATAACATGTAGTGCCCATGTCTAAAATGTAATTTATTTTTCTTGAGAAACCTCTTTCAAGCAGGAGTACGACAGTTAATGGGAACACAAACAGATATTCGATCATTGTCTTATTTAAAAAACCAGCATACACATTTTGATACCGAAGAACATGATATAATTTTGCAAAGCTTATTTTGACATGGTTTAAATGAATTACCAATTAAAATACGAGCAACAAATAGTTCTGGGGCTAAATGAAGATCTTAGGCCAAAAGATAACATTAAGCAATGTTTTACTTTAACATGTCATGTAGGATCATTAAAAAATTTTAAATGTCATGGTTAAATGTAAGTGCATAAAATTGAGAGATAACACCAATTTTGATGAATACAATTTTAATTATCCAAAATCACCTGGGAGGTTTTCTACATATATTCCTTTTCTAGATAACAAATTGATGAGAATTAACCATTTGATGGGAATCTTCCCAATTGACTTTTTCTTATCAGCTTGGCAACTGAGTTGTAAGCACTAGGGCTCTCTGGGATAGTTAAGTAAGTTAGATAGTTAGAAAGGTAACTTCTGACCCTACCCTAAACGGCCCAGGCTGTGGTGCTTAAAAAATGGCTTTGGTTTTATCATCTCTTCCTTTGGTATCCGTTGAAGAAAACATATTCTACCCTCTAGATTTCTTGCTTCTATCTGCTTTTGCCTATCTGGAGCATAAGCCAAGTAAGTTTTCTTTTTTTAAAATTCTACCTTTATTCATCAAACCAAATAAATTCTAAACTTCTTCCAACTCCAAAGACACTGACTACGCCTATAAGGCACTGTGAGAGACTGGAGTTTACCAAGAGGAGTCTCAGCTAAGGTCATTGTGATTCTACTAAGAATGAATGAAAACTGGAAAAAAAAAACTTGTTTAAATTATTGAATGAAGTTTCTAAAAATCACTGGCAGTAGAGGTATTGTCTATCAAATTAAAATTCAGGACATGTGCGTCAGTTATCAGCTTGACAAGTATGTTCTGGAGGATTGAATTAATTAAAGGTCTAACCTTAAACTAAGTGAGATATTACTGGGTTACTAAATACAGATAAACTAAGTGAGATATTTCTGGGTTACTAAATACAGTGTCTTCTTTTTTCCTAGAAGAATTACAGAAAAAAAATGCCTAAATCAGAAGATGAACTGTGTTCTAATGACACATCTAGTCATAGACCTGAGATCCTTAAAGTAACAGCATATAGTAGCAGAAAGTATATGAGAACAGGAATGGAGAGATTTCGAGTATAGACCTCCTCTATCTACATCCAGCCCTGTCGCCTGCTAGTAACAGGACTCTAGGTAGACACCTACCTTCTTGTTGATCTGATTTCCTTATGTATAATATAAGGGAGCATAACTAAGTAAGTTCTAAGGTCTTTCCAGCTCCTAAAGGAATTGATCAATCCTGTGAGGCTCTGGGAGAGCCTGAACAAAGAGGGCTCTCTTCCCATAATATGATGCATAAAGGTAATTGTGATTCTGTGAAGAATGAAATAAAGTTACAGCACACAGGCGAAAGGGAAACTGTTACAGAATCTATGAGTCAACTTAGAAGTGATTTGCTCTAGGTGATGAAATCCGAAAAGTACTGTGATATTCTCAGAACTGATGCCACAGATATAATTCAAAAGACATAAGACCCATCAGTTAAAATACTTAATTATTCACCCTTTTCAAATTTTATATGTATGTATAAACATATATATATATATATATAAAATGTTATACATGTTCTAGAGTCAACAAGAATACCTTAAAATAATTCTAGAACTTCAATTAAGTTCTATCACCACTTGGGTCTACCAGGTGACGTTAAATCGGCTTGTGGATCCCTTTGTTGAGATACTTGTTTACTTGTTATACATTTCTTTGGGTGCTGACTCAGTTGATTCTGCTTTGGGGACCAAGAGTAATATCTATGGTGGTGATGACAACACAGAAACGTTTTCTTTGGTCGACTTGACACCAAAATCAGTGGGGACAAAACTTAGATCTAGGGATTTAAGAGTATTGAATTCATGATCTACAAATTGTAAATGCCAAGTTTCTCTTAAAGACTCTTTTCATGATAAAAGTACAACATAGTTAAAATTCATCTCCATTTCTCCTCTTCAACTTGATCCAGATGCCATTAGTTGGACGAAGAATCAACTGTCCTTCCACACCAAGTTCTTCTCTCTTCTGGTTGGAGTCTACCCAAAAATGCCTCAGGACACAGGAGAGAATGGTCTTTTCTTCCATAACAGCAAATCTTTGACCTTCAAGTTAATGTAAACACCATCACTTTAATTATGTATTTACCTCAAATATGAGAAACAACAAGTCCCATTATAGGAAGCAAGCAACTTTACATGTTCACAGTAGGGTGTAGGAGTGTGAGCTGGTACACCCTCTGTGGAAAATAGTTTGGCAATTCCTAAAAGACCTAAAACTTGACCTTCCATATGGCCCCCACAATCCTCCCTCTGGGAATATACCCGGAGGAACTTAAACCGCTCTATAAAAAAGATACCTGCTGGAAGGCTGAGGTGGAAGGATCACCTGCGCCCAGCAGGTCGAGGCTGTGGTGGCCATGAGCATGCCACTGCACTCCAGCCTGGGTGATAGAGTAAAACTCTGACTCAAAAAAAACCCAAAAAACCCCAAAAAACCAAAAAGCACCCTGCGTATGCATGTTTATTGCAGCATTATTCACAAGAGCAAAAACATGGAACCAACTGTGCTGCTCATTGAAAGAGAACTGGATTAAAAAAAATGTGATAATATATACACAATAGAATATTATGCAGCCATGAAGAAGGGCAAAGTTATGACCTTCGCAGCAACTTGGATGGACTTAGAGACTACAACACTCAGTCATCTGTCACAGAAACAAAGAACTGAGTACCACAGGTTCTCACTCATAAGCAGACCGTGACAATTGTCATAATACTATAAGAAAGGGATTGGCAACAGTGGGAAACTGCCAGGGGAGGAATGGGGGGGCACACCTCACCCACAAGGGCACCTGTGTAATGACCATTTGTATACCTAACCCTGAATTGTATCCCACATCTGTAAAAAAATAATGTAAAAAAAAAGGAGACTCTGCCGGGCTCGGTGGCTCAGCCTGTCATCCCGCGCCTTTGGGAGGCCGAGGTGAGTGGATGGCCTGAGCCCACCGGTTCGAGACCCGCCTGGGCAACTTGGCGAGCCCTCATCTCTACAATAAATCAAAAATCAGCCAGGCGTGATAGCGTGCACCTGTAGTTCCAGCTACTCGGAAGGCTGAGGCGGAAAGATCGCCGGAGCCCAGCAGGTCGAGGCTGCGGTGGCCAGGAGTGGCCACTGCACTCCGGTCTGGGCGACCGAGGGAGACTCCAACTCCAAAAAAGAAAAAAAAAAGGAGACTCTTGTGTGTCTTCCCTGCTCCCACCTTTTATATCTGAAGAGTTTGGGCGGGCCAGGGAATCTGTATTTTAGCTGTATCCCAGATGAATCTTGGTCTCATTCAGACTTGAGAATCACTACTCTAGATTACTTCCTATTGAATCTTTAATTTACTACAGTCACCAAATAAGCTTCAGAGTCACCAATTTAAATGGCCCCATTCTCCTAATGTCTGCATTTATTTAAATGATAAAATGGTGGAGATACCAAAGCCTAAAGTGTTTAGAACGCGTGGTGATACACATTCAGCTAGCCATGTAGCAAGCACTCTCTGTTTTGGTTCCGCAAAATAAAATTCTTAAAAGCAATAAACACAAAATTTCGGTTAAACATAACTAATTATTTAAATAAGCTTCCAAGCAAAAAATATTATTTTCTACTTTAATCCCAAATCTGCAACATTTTAAAACGAGACCATGAAACGGATCGTGCTTTATGTTGTGAATTGTGACCCTCTTCAAAGTCATATGTTAAAGTGCTGACCCTGTGTAGCTCAGAATGTGGTGATATTTGGAGATAGGTCATTTATAGGGGTTACTGAGCTTTAAGCCGATCATAAAGGTTGGCCCTAACACAATCTGACTGAAGAGAAGATTAGAATACAGACTCAGACAGAGGAAAGGCCAAGTAAAGACACGAGAAGAAGATGACCATCTACAAGACGAGGAGAGAAGCCTCAGAAGAAAACAACCCTGCTGACACCTCGAGCTTGGACTTCTAGCCTCCAGGACTGTGGGAAAACAAATATCTGTTGTTTACCACCTAGCAGGTGGTATGTTATGGCAACCTGAGAAGACTAATATACTTTCTGACAGTAACATTTTAAAACTAGAATGCATAGTGAAGTGGAGAGAAAAGAAGCCAGTGTCTTCAGGCTATTTCGTATTGGCAATGTCACACCACAGATCTGAGTAATTATCGTGAGAAACCCACTGTCATGTGGGTCTGCAGGTTCAAACCAGTTTGGATGGATACACACCTATGCAGTTCCTGGGCCCCGCAGAGAAGGGCACATAAGCATATGGATGGCGTCCTTGTGCATTCTCGGGAAAGAAGCGTTCTGGCTGGAATTCCTCAGGATGGGGGAAGTACTTGGGATCTCTGTGCAGTGCGTAGGGAATGATGACGGCTTCGGTGCCTTTCAGAACTTTGTAACCCGCTGTCAAGAAGTAGTCAACATGGAATGAGACTGGAAAAGGACCGACATTTTAAAAAATCCACTCTTCTTACTATGTTAATGACAGCACACTTACCCACTTCACAATCTTCACTGAGAGTACGAGCAAATAAAGGAACAGAAGGAAAAAGGCGAAGGGTCTCTTTAATAACACATTCCAGATATTTAAGTTTCTTCAGGTCTTCCAATGTCGCAGGACGATCGGACTTTCCTGATTAAAGCAAATAAATACAGGGATATGGAGGAACTATCTGGGCTTAGGGGGTGGAGACATCAAAAAAAAACACGCAGATCAAAACACTGAATGCGAAATACCCACAGCTAAAGTAGAATTTCTAATATTATGCGTGAGCAAAATAAAGTGAGACAAAAATGCCAAGTGAAAGAAACCAGACACAAAAGATTACATACTGTATGATTCCACTTACAGGAAGTACTCGCATAGGTAAGTCTACAGAAACTGAAAGTAAATTAGTGGTGGCCAAAGCTGGAGAAGCAGGACTGGAGAGTGATGGCTTACAGGCTTTCCTTTCAGAAAGCTGTAAGTGTTTCAGAGGGGACAGTCACAAGACACTGTGAATGTACTAAATGACACTGAATTGTGTGCTTTAAAATCGACACTTTTATGTTATGCTCCATTCACCTAAATAAAAACAACAACGTGAGGAACTGATGCTTGCAACTCAATATCCAAAGATTAGTTACTCAAAATTTTTAGAATACTGGGAACAGAAGAAAAAGTAAGGCAGGTAGAATAGACAGAAAACACAAGAAGCAGCAGAACAAAGATTCTAGTAATACTGGTTGTGTTACTAATCATGTGCGATCAAAGAGCATTTGTGAAGCCAGCAATAAACTAAAACTGGTAGAAAATGCAAAAAATGTGAGTCTATTCTAAAAGAACTTACGAGGTTTTAGAAAACCAAATCGCCGGGCTCGGTGGCTCAGCCTGTCATCCCGCGCCTTTGGGAGGCTGAGGTGAGTGGATTGCCTGAGCCCACGGGTTCGAGACCCGCCTGGGCAGCGAGACCTCATCTCTACAATAAATCAAAAAATCAGCCGGGCGTGGTAGCGCACACCTGTAATTCCGGCTACTCGGAAGGCTGAGGCAGAAGGATCGCCGGAGCCCAGCAGGTCAAGGCTGCGGTGGCCGGGAGCGGCCACTGCACTCCAGTCTGGGCGACAGAGTGAGACTCCAACTCAAAAAAAAAAAAAAAAAAAAGAAAGAAAACCAAATCTACTCACTGGCATCAATCGGAGAGAAATTAAATTAAATATGGAAAAAATAAGACGACAGAAGTGGAGACAAAAAGTTTATAGACTGTCTCCATTCCACAAAACGAGTCTCACCTCTTGACATAAAATTCCAAACCCTGCACATGCTGAACATGGAACCGTTTTTCCAGTCTCCTCCCTCAGGGAGTGAGAGGAACTGCTATCCTTCCCTATCCGCTGTTGCCTCCAGATGGGGAACTTTCTACTTCTGGGCCAGTGTTCATCTGATTTTCTCTTCTCAGAATCAGATGCCTCCTCTATTCAGCTTTTTTTTTCTTTACTTTTCCTTCCCCGCTCTTTTCTCTATTAAACTACATCAGATACCACATTGTTGCTTGGCTAACCCCACGTCTTTCCTTGCCACCTCCCAGCTATAGGAAACCATGTGACACATGGTTTCAAAAAGGATCAAGTTGATGTACCAGCCCTTTGCGGTAGACTGACAATGGGTCCCCAAAATATCAGGTCCCAATTCCTGGAATCTCTAAATATTAACTTACTTGAGAAAAAGGGGTCTTTGTAGATTTGATTACATTAAGAATCTCAAAAGTGGGGTATTATCCAGGTGGGTCCCAAATGCCTCAAAAGTATTCTTGTAAGAGAAAGGCAGATACGCACACAGATACACACACACACACACAGAAGAGAATCAGTGTGAAGACAGGCAGACATTTCAGTGATGTGGCCATAATCCAAGGAATGCTAGCAGCCACTAGAAACTTAAAAGGCAAGGAATGGATGTTTCCAGGAGAACAGCCCTGCCAAAGTGTTGACTTAGGCTGTGTGATACTGATTTGGGACTTCTGTGTCCAAAACTGGGAGAGAATAAATTTCTGTTGTTCTAAACCTCCTCACTTGTGGCATTTGTTAGATCAGTCACAGGAAATGAATAAATCCTTCACCCCCAACTCCCCTTTTCACTTGCTTTGAAGATGAACACGACGCCTAGAACAAAAATCAAAGCGGTAGAGAGGGCAGAGAAAAACAAACAAACAAACAAAAAACAGCATGTCTGGGACCCTGAACAACCTGCCAGCATCAGCCTAGGACTCTTGACTGGCATGCTTGTTGTCTAATAGAAATGTCCCTCCACCTCTCAGCCTCACTAATCTTTCCGCTTCTTTGTGGTCAGATGCAGTCTCATGAAGAAGCAGCTGTTCCGGTCCACTCTAAACAGCTTTACCCGCTCCTGGTGCTCCCAGGAGCACCTGTTACACATCACTCGAGCACCCAGCCCGTGACTCTCTGCTTTCTGGACACAGGTCTGTTTTGCCTGTGAGGCAGCCAGACCCTGAGGACAGTAGCACTCTTCTGAGTGACCCTAGCAGTTAATCTGGCGCACTCACATGCCGGGTGACTAGCAAATATCTGTGAGTGAACGGAGGAGGCCATGCCAGAGGGATGGGCCCTGGAAGAACCCCACAGGGGAGCCTTCGTGCTTATCACAGGGTCTTGAGAACAGGTTCGACCGCACCGCCTCATGAGCCAGAATGACATCTGACTTGGTGGACTTACTGCCCACAGAGTAACTAGTGAAGGGGCCAAACATACCAAACACTTCGTCCAACTCTTTATCCACTTTCTTCTGGACGTCTGGATGAGAACCCAATAGGTACAAAGACCAGTTTATTGCAGCTGCAGTTGTGTCATGGCCCTACAAACGGAAGAAAAACAACAGCTGAAAAACAGAGTTCTACTGAGAGGATGAGGAGTGACTATGATAGCTCTATTTTGAACTGACTCTGGATTCAACAGCTGCAATGCGGCTGCAGAATATAGCAAATTCCACACAGCCTCTTACCTTGGGGAGAAACAAAGAAACCCATCCCTGAAAAGCGGAGGTTCTTGCTTACAGATGACCTTTCAATGCCACAGCGTTGCACACCTTGCAGGAAGTGGCTGGGTTGTGTTAATAAAGCGGCACTCCAAGGGAACAGGGTGAGCTGGCCCTTTCTGAAGGGAAAGTCGTGCTTTCATGAGGCAGCTTGTCCTCCTCTACCTTCCCCATCTGGAAGGTGGGCTTTACCTGCTGACGGCAGACACTAGGAGAGTCTATGTGTGGTTCTGGCTCATACCCTTTGCATCAAGAAGTTGGTAAACAGTTTCATTTAATACTTGCTGAGTTTTAGGCAAAAAACTAGGTACTGTGCAGAAACTGACTCAATCTGCACAAAAATTCCACGAAATGCCCATGGTTGTTATTTACACTTGAAGTTTAAAAAGAGGTCCCCACAAATAAGGTGAAATAACTTATCCTGTGCCAGACAGCTAAGCTGGAGGCAGAGGCAAGAGGTGAACCTTCAGAATGTCTCCTGACAAAGAAAGTCTACACTATTGACCTCCACAGATGGGCAGGAAGGAGACTCTGTCTCTGCCTCGTACTCATGTGAATGGCCTAGACAGACCTCTTTCTACCTCTTTAACACTGGAGGCCGTAGCCTCTTATCGCCTCTCCTCATCTCCCTGGGTCATTTCCATATGCACAAGTGGTGAGTTCTTCAGGGAAAAAACTGTATCTGGAAAAATCAATAATAGTATTATACCTCCTTGAGTAAAATTTTTGGACAAAAAGAAGAGAGAAAACAAGTTATCTCCTCTACAGAAGATCCTACTTTTCCATGTAGCACAAGAAAGTGATAATTTTCCATGTACTTTTCTCCATGTAGGACAAGGAAGTGATCAGTACAATATTTCATTCTCTGGGCAGAAAACTCAAGTACTTGTTTTATAAAACAGCTCCTAGATTGAATTGTCTGAGGCTTATTCTGGAATTTTACAAACAGTCTCCAGATCTGGGTTGTTGGCAGCTTGATGCATTTTCTTACACTTTCAGCTACAGAAACTACTCTGAACTCTGGTAGCAATGGGGTCCACTTCACTCAGTTACCCATTAGTTACATGAAGAAGCACTCTGGCTGAACTTTTTTTTTTTTTTTTTGTAGGTGGAGTCTCACTGTCACCCAGACTGGAGTGCAATGGCCATTCCCAGCCACTGCAGCCTGGACTCGCTGGGCTCCGGCGATCCTTCCGCCTCAGCCTTCGAAGTAGCCGGAATTACAGGCACGCGCTACCACGCCCGGCTGATTTTTTGATTTATTGTAGAGATGAGGTCTCGCCGCCCAGGCGGGTCTCAAACCCACGGGCTCAGGCCATCCACTCACCTCAGCCTCCCAAAGGCGCGGGATTACAGGCTGAGCCACCGAGCCCAGCTTTGAACAATTCTTAATTGCTCTCCTTGAACTTATGCATGGAAGCTTGATCCAAATGTATAAGACAAGAAGTCTGCTGAACTTCCTACTTCAGAATGAAGTAAATGTATGGTTTTTTACTTTTTTAAACTTTTTTTACTTTTTACTTTTTTAAACTTTTTTAATGAAGTGACAGTGGGATAGGGGAGAGGCAGAAGACTTTTCAGCTAAAGGCTGGAAGCTGGATGTGGAAGGCATGCAGTTAACAGCCTGTACCCATCTATGGAGGAGGTCACAATCTGGTAGCTATTCCTGGTATTCTTCCCATTCACTGCAGAGAAAAAAGGAGTTAAACTTTCAAAGAATGTTAGAGCCGGACACTTGTATGGTTGTTTTCGTGAGAGTGAGAGGTTACTGGTAAGAGATGGATGTGTGAGTATGTGTGTACATATGTGTACATGCATGAGTGTGTATATGTGTATTGCATGTGGATATGTGCATGTATTTGTGCATATGTGCAAGCGTGTATATGAATATGTATGTATGTGAGTGTGTTCATATGTGTAGTGTGTTTATATACGCATGAGTGCAAATATGTACATGAGTGTGTGTATGTGTATGAGTTGTGTGTATGTATATATGCACGAGTGCACGTGTGTATGTGGGTGTGTGCATACACATTTATATGTGTGTGAGTGTATGTGTGTGTATGTAGGTGTGTGCATGCACATGAATGTATGTGAATTAGGCGTGTATGTTGTGCTTATGTGTATTTGTGTGTGTACATGGTGGAATGAAGAGGTGAGAAAATAATAATAATAATAATAATAATAATAAATAATACCCAATACTGCTACACGCTTATGTACCAGGCATGATTCTCTGATCGCTTAAAAATGGAATCATCATGACAATTATTCCCTGAGGCCTATGCTATTAAAATAAGAATGAGGTCACATTTCTAGGACATATTAGAGTTGGAATTTGGTCCCAGAGCCCATGTTTAACACATCTTTATTTTTCAGCGAATTTAGATGTCCATTTTCTACCTGAGATTTCTTTTCAATAAAATGCTCTGCTTTAAAAAAAACTCAAGGCCGGGCTCAGTGGCTCAGCCTGTCATCCCGCACTTTGGGAAGCTGAGGTGAGTGGATTGCCTGAGCCCGCAGGTTCGAGACCCGTCTGGGCAACTTGGGGAGACCTCATCTCTACAATAAGATCAAAAAATTAGCCGGGCATGGTAGCGCGCGCCTGTAATTACAGCTCCTTGGAAGGCTGAGGCGGAAGGATCGCCGGAGCCCAGCGGGTCGAGGCTGCGGTGGCTGAGAGCGGCCACTGCACTCCAGTCTGGGTGACAGAGTGAGACTCCAACTCAAAAAAAATAAAAAAATAAAATAAAAAAGCTCAAACCCACTGATCTAGCCAATCCCAGTCTTTCGCAGTTAGAAAAATTGTGACAGAGATCTGGAATGACTAGAACCATCTCATCTGGCTAGAACTTGGGTCTCCAGCCTCCAGTTCAGCTTTCTTCGACTGCATAGCAGACCTTTCTCCACAGGGAAGCCAGCACGAGCACTGGCACTGTGTCCGAGGCGCCAAGCAGGGCAGCCAGCACCATGTTCTGCCTGCAGTGAGCCGCTCAAGATGCAGGCGCCTTTTACTGTGCTTCATGGGGAACCTTGAGAAACCATTCTTTATCTTTATTTTGCAATCTGCCTTTGGAGCAATTCACACTTTGTAATGTTTAGCATAACATTTAGTCTATCTGTGTCAAAAGAACTTTATATATATTTTTTTACCATCACAGACTGGTTAAATTTTCTGTTGGTGGACTCTTACTAGCCTCTTCAGCTAGAACAGCTCAGAGCCGCAGCCCAGTGCTCGTTGGCTAGAACTTCAAAAAGGAAGTTGTGTGAAGAAATTTGCGGGTATGGGAGGTGAAGAGGAAGCGCGAAGCAATACAGAGAACTAAGAACAATCTCTGGCTGCCCTTTCACTTGGGAAAAGTCTGACAAATCTTACGTTTTCTTGAGAAGAAAAATGTGTCTACTGCTCTACTAACCACTAGTCAAAATCCTTTTCTGAGGAAGGACATTAATCTAGTACCTAATCCGTTTTCTAAATTTTATAATTTCTACTTAAAATCTAATGAATCTTCCCGTTATATTAAACTACATTAAAATTTGATTAAGTTTCGAAAAAATAATGCTAAAGATTCTAAAACGAACTGGAATTTGTTTAATGCTATCTGAAAATAACATGATAATATGCACTACCTCAAACATGAAGGTGTCGACTTCTTCTCGAATATCCTCATGACTTAGCTTGTTCCCCTCGTCATCAGTCACGCTTAAAAGCAAGTCGAGAAAAGCCCTGCGTTTATTTTTGTAGGGGGCAGAGCCCCTGTCATCACCTTTACAGTCTTGGTCTTGCTTCATTTCATTGGCCCGCTCAGCGATGACCTGTATAATTGAAATGACAGTCACACGCTTTTGTTTGAACGTGGATGCAGACTAATAATCCATTTTCCTATGAAAATATGTTAGCTTCTTCCACTTATTTTTTCTGAAGCTTTTCATTTCAACATCTTAACAACTTAGGCTCTTGTGAAAATACAGTAAAGGCCCCTGTTAATAGGTAGGGTATTATTGAGTGAGACTTTGAAAAACAAACTTAATGTCAGAGAAATTCATAATTTTTAGGTGCTACATATGCAGTCTTTCCAACATGGGAAGAGCCGTAGTCACGGAATAGTACCCTAGATGTCTGAATGAGATCTAATGAGAAAAGGTTGAAGTGGTAGAGATAATGCAGTCATTATATGATAGACTAATTATAGATGGCTCTTAATTACATGTTGTACTAGAGAAAAGAGACAGCAAAGAGATGTGTGAAATCATCCCGTATGCTCGTGATTCCCTCTCCTGAAACAACTTCCTCAGACACCTGTGTGGCCGACCCTCCTGCCTCCCAGGTCTCTGCTCTTGTCACACCTTAGGAGAGAATGTCTCTCACCACGGCTCCCCTTGTCCCTGGTGCTCACTGGCTTCTTTACATGATTTTATTTTTCTCCACTTCACTTACTACCTGACATTATATGACGCTTATAGCATGATATATTTATTATTGTATTATACTTATTATTTAGTATCTTTCTTCTCCAACTCAAACTTTGCCACTCATGTGCATGTCTTTGTTCATTAACAGATTTCTAACCTATAGAACATTGCTTGGTATTTTAAGAATGCTCATTAGATATTTCTTGAATGAGTCAAAAACTTAACGCCCATAAACTTAATTTGTTTGTACATTTCAACTTCCTTTTCTTACCAGGCAACTGACCAAACCTGCTACTGAGTTGCTTAAATGAATAGATTTTAAGCTCTTTGAGGGTAAAACACTTTGTCTTCTTTTATTCTTGATGGAACTAGTGCCTAGGGCTCAGTTTGAAATTTTCAATATTTATTAAATGAATAATATTGTCCCGTCAATCTGGAATTCATTTAATTATTAATATTGATATTACAGCATAACATTTAAGAGAAAATGTAATGACAGAATATACCCTGTTGGCTTTTCTCCTACAACCAGGTGATTATACTCCACTGTGGCCAGCTCAAGTCAGCATCACATTCATCAAATATCTACTGACTTAATCCTTCGATCTGTTGGTAGTAGGTTGTACCTCATTTTGAGGAAGCAATTCCAATATATTTTAACCAAAGTTTATGGCAAATAATATATTTAAATAGGCATTTTTTCCAGTACATTGAAATTATAATTTGATGTATATTTTCAATTAAATCTTTATTTTATATAAATATATCTTTAACACAAAGATTGACATCCTATATTTAAAACAACATCTCTATCTATTGGATTTTTAAATTGGAAATAAAATAGTAATATATAGTTAATTTTAAACTTTCCCAAGTAAAGATACCGCTATCATTGCCCTTTGGCTTTGAAAATGACTGCCTAATACAAACATTTCCAGAAGACTCTTACACACAGATCCTTGCCTCTTTTTCTTTTAACACAATATCCTGTTTGTTAATAAGCGTACATAGTTTCACAGCTCATGTCACATTTTGGAATTATGTGTTTATAAGTCACCTCCCCTCTTAAAAGTAACCTTTCAGGTAAAGAAAACGAGGGGAGACCCATAATAAAGCAGAATTATCTTTGAGAGAGCGAGCCTTGTAATACAGGCTTCCTCTACTAAGTGGGTGTTCTAGGAATCCATCCGCATCAGTGTACCAGCTGGCATTGTTGCGTTTGGCTTCAGTGATTTTTTTTGGACATTCTTTCAACACATTTGCCCATTTTATGATGGGTGATTTACGAGCATACAAGCCCAAACTGTGCAGAGTGTTCAGCAGTTTTTGACTAAAAGCAGCATGACCTCATGCACCACTTTCCCGGTTCACCCCATTTCACCATGAGTGACTTTTTTTGTTGCCCTGTATAAAAGGAAGTCCTCAAAGGGAAACGTTTTGACAATGTGGAGGAGATGAAACAAAAATGGCAGAAGCACTAAAAGACACCAAAATTGATGAGTCAAAAAATCATTTTAAACAATGGAAAAAGCATCTCAGTGGGTGTGTTGCACCAAATGGAGAGTACTTTGAAGGTGACTGAAGTCAAAACATGTAAGAATAAATACACAATTTTTTTTTTTTTGAGTCGGAGTCTCACTCTGTCGCCCAGACTGGAGTGCAGCGGCCGCTCCCGGCCACCGCAGCCTCGACCTGCTGGGCTCCGGCGATCCTCCCGCCTCAGTCATCCGAGTAGCCGGAATTACAGGCGCGCGCTACCACGCCCGGCTGATTTTTTGATTTATTGTAGAGATGAGGTCTCGCCGTCCAGGCGGGTCTCGAACCCGCGGGCTCAGGCAATTCACTCACCTCAGCCTCCCAAAGGCGTGGGATGACAGGCTGAGCCACCGAGCCCGGCTTGAATACACAATTTTTAATAAATAAATTCTGGTTTTGGGGGTCCCTCTTGAATACAGGCATGTCTCATTCATTACTACAGTTCCAACATTTGGTAAAGTGTTTGGCACTTAGTGAGTGCTTGATTAACATTTGTCAAATACATAATTTAAATGTAATCATGCTGATCACACTTTTCCCATTATTATTCAATTCAGCTTCTGTTTTCTGAGATAGGGCTCCATGGTTCTACATTGGGTATATAACAAAATATAAAACCCATGGACTTACCAAAAGTTCTGAAAATAGAGGAGATGGTTGCATAATATTGTGAATGCACTTAATGCCAACTAACTGTATATTTGAAATGGTTATAATGGAAAATTTTGTGTCATATATATTTTACTACAATTAAAAAAAAAGCCAAGGACTTACATTGTTGGTAAAAGTGTGTAGGATCTTAAGGCTCCTTTTGTGTTCCCATCCTTCTTTAAACATGAGGTACCAAAGGTCAGACCAAAGCCAGGGCTTCTTTATTCTTCGAAATATCATATCACTCATTCTATAAACAGGATAAAAATATATCCGCTGTTATATCAGAAACGTACGTTTCTTGAGCGCCTATTTGGTACTTGGCCCTGATGAAGGCATTATAGAGGAACTGATGATGACTAGTCATAGAAGCTATTGAGAGCTCCATGCTTTATATTCAGCAATGAAGGCATGGGCTATTACACATCCTTTAAAAATAATGCTTTAAACAAAAAACGGGTTCTTTAGAGGAATGAAGACTCCATTATAAAACATCCTTACTAGATAACCATCTGGTCTCTGCTTCTGAATCTGCAGGGTTAGTTTACAACTTCCAAAGACTGGGGGGGCGGGGGGGCCTGAGGGAACTCTTACACCAAGAGTTAAGATGAAATCTGACTCTCTTTAAGCCCCATTCATTTGTGTGATCCTCTTTGGAAGTGACAGAAATAAAACAACCGGTTGCTCTCTTCTACAAGAAAAGCTCACCAAACACCCATCTGTCGCATGGCGATCCCAGGACCCCCTGCTCATTTCCCTGGTAGAGCAGAAAGACAGTGACACCATCTTCTTCAGGACCAGCTTAGATGCCAGTTTTTCAGAAGAGCTTTTCTTGGTCACTCGGTCTGTTTTCCTCTCTAGCAACTTGATCTCTTCTCCCTAAGCAATTCTCACCATTCCTGAGTTTATATGTCTTTGTCTGATGCCGGTCTCCCTTGCTATTCTGTTTTGCATACTTCTATAAAACTAGTCAGGACTTTGTGCAACGACTGGCTGATTATAGCTCAATAAATATTTGCTAAATGAAGTGAAATGAGCAGTGGACTTAAAGATAGGACATATAAAATAAAATCCTTGCCTTGCCTCTTAATAGCTAAACAATTGCAAGCAATTTTAAAGTAAAATTGATCCTTTCCATTACTACAACAATGCCTACTCAGTATAGAAAATATGGGAAAAGGGAATAAGTAACAACAAAAACAAAAACCAACAAGATAGATGCATAACAATGATGCCCACTGCTGATATTTCGGGATAGTATCTTGAGGGTCTTTTCCATGAACAAGTGTTTAATATTGTGATGGCTATTGTACTATAAACAGTTTGTTTATGATTTTCTTTTATCACTTAGCATCATACTGTAAGCATCACTATGGACATGGTACTGCAGTGTCAACACTTTAGAAAACAACCATTTTAAATCCCTGCATAATCTAGGTGTGTCATAATTTACATAACCATTCCTCTACTGCTTAAACACATACTTAAAGGATGATGTTAACTTTTAGTTTAATGTTTCATTTTGAGAAACAAAAAAATATACAAACAGACAGAAATGGCAGCAATAATATTTGAAGCCCAAATCAATAATAATTTTAAAGCTAATTGAAAGAACTCCATTTACCTATAAACTGCACGGACATACTCGGAATCATCATTATTTTGAGCACCAATATTCTTCCCCATAGCTGTCTCTATAAAATATGGGTGAGAAGCAATCATTAATTCACGCACATATCTTGTGTTCATCTTGCAGTGGCAGGCAGTAAGGAGGACTTCCATCCTTTCTGTTCTTAGGGGTTTTGAACTGGTCTTCCTCCCTTCTCTTGGACCTCTGCTTCTCCTACTCCCTGTTCCTGCTCTTGCTTCTTTACCCTTCCCAGGAAGTTGCTTTGTGTCAGCTTTGTGCTTCCCAATCACCCTGGAGTGAGTATGTGATCGCCCCGGAGTAACTGCTGCTTCTCACGAGGCCAGTGTCACAGCAGAATTTCCCTGAAGAATCCACTTCTGTTCCAGTCCCTTCATTTGCCTTCCCAGTGGAGTATGACTTTCTATTTGGGCTTTTTTGTTTTGTATCTTTACACCAGACATGTAGAAACAAATCAATGAGACTTACCACAGATTATATCTAAGGCACAAAGAGTGATGTAAAAAAAGCAGTTAAATGCTTCTTGGTTTACATGCTTTTCAAGTTTATTAACCAATATGTTTGCTTGTTCATTCATGACATCTAAGAAATCTTCCAGAATTGTAAAATGGAAGGTAGGTGTTAACATTTTTCTCCTTGAACGCCATTTGTTTCCAGTACTAGAAATATAATATATAGTTATACATACAAAAGGGAGAAGTAACATCCAAATCAAATAAAGCACAAATATAGACAAGTAAACAAGATTCTCCTAAAACAGCTTAAACTATAGATTCTCAAATACTTTGGACAGAATGACAAAGATATATATAGATATACACATATATATTTCACATATAGTTACAAAATATAAATATTTTGGACACTTCTATAATACTAGTATTTAATATTTAAAGTTATATTTATAAAATTGAAATTTGTAAGAATTTTTCTCAATTTTCTAAGTTCTGAGTTTCCAAAAGTAAGACTTTTTCTCTCCTCTTATCAATACCTTCACCCTCAGATGACCCACATGCTCCATGATTCTATCTTAATATCTACTGGATTTGAATTCTCCAAAGTCCCCACAAGGTTCCTGCCTTCTTCTGCGGGATGCTCTGTCAGAGGAGAGCATCCTACTCAATATACATCTCTGGGGCTGACTGATGTTTTGATTGGATTTCTAAGACTTCCCTGTTTCACACACTCCTTTGCTTTACTCCTCATACTCTAGAACCTCCTAAATCTTGGAACACTGGTGATAGTCACTATTGAATACCATGGCTAGAGATCACCATACACCTGGACTCTTGTCTGGTAAAGACCCAGTGCTAGCTGAATTTTTTTTGCCAACCTTTCCCCTCATTCCTGAGAGCAGTCTGGCTACATAAAAAAGGAGAACCTACCTGTGTCAATTCTTGAAATACAGGTCACACACAGAAGCAACTGCTTCTATGACACAGTTTTACAGATTTAAACTGACATACCTTGTAAGAAGTCCTAAGCCAAGCCATGGTTCTAAGAACTTGTACATGGAAGATTTGTCAATTTGCTTTGAACTGGCTAAAACCACCTTAAAAAGAAGAAAAATTTTGAGAGGCATATAGACATAAAAACAACTTCAATTATAGGAATACCTGGCTATAATACAGATACTTCTTAAGGCAACATTTCACAGCCTTTATTTTCTCTATGGTTCATTTTCATTCTTGTGCCTCAAAGACATTCAACGAGAGTTTTGGACATCTACCTGTCATTCAGTCTTGGGGACTAACGGACTTGAGGGAAAGAAAAAGGTTTAAAATATTCCCTGGTTCCTGCCATTCACTGTAATGCTTGACTTACAATTAAAGTGGAGTCATTTGACGAGGATGAGGGGAGATGCAGGAGGGCATAGTGAATCTGGAGGAGGACCACCTTTGAGGAGACGGAAGTCGCGAGTTTGTTTTCAGGCATATTGCCTTTGTGCACTCAAGCTGCCACAGTTGGACAGCAGGTGTGCAGCTCAGAGTGGGGCTGAGCTAGAGATACCTGTCCGAGTGTCCGCAGCCTACATAGAACCCTGGAAGCCCTGAGTGTGACCAGACACCTAGAGTCACAGTGAAGCAGAAGGGACGAGTGCCTGGGAGTGAGCAACAAAGGCTCCCCAAGCTTCATGTGCGAGTCCCTGATTCTGGACAGATCACGACTCACAAATGCCAAACCCTCATCAGTGGGTGAAATCCTATGCCTGGTTCCCCAATATCTTCTCTGAATGAGGATTCTGGAGAAACAGGGGAAACGCCAACATTTTCACCACAACCACTTAGAAAAACGTGTCCCAGCACCATTCCCAAGAAAATCCTGTTTGTAATTTTGTTCCACGAAGTGAAGCTCTGTATATCTCATTTTTGCTCCCTGATCTGAATCCTTTTCTTATCATACTACCAGATGATTTCCCCAGATTTTTTTCTATTGAAGCCGGATACAAATGCTTATTGGCAAATATTGTTTAATTTATTTATTTGAAAGATGTAGGGTAAAAGGTCTACCACTTTTTTGAAGACTAACTTCAATAGCATGGATTAACAATATCCATCCTATAAATATCAGATTAGCATTCTCTTTTAAATTTGGAATCATAGAATGATTATCACTATAATAGGCGACCCTGAGCACCTTAAGGGAAAGAAACACCCATATTCTATGAGTCACATAATTTTGGAGTCTTACAACACTGTTTGTTGAATAACAAGTGCTCACCTTGGGGAATAATCTATTTATGGTTCAAAAAAAAAATCTACATCTTTCTGCAGACTTTCAGAAAAGGAGAATAAATGTATTGTAACCTAACAGCAAAGGTGTCTTTACATCTGAAGGGTGTCAGTCTCTCAGGATTCAGATGGCATCTGAAAAGCATACATGGCACCTAGATACCCTGAAAAAACTAGGGATGCTCTTTGTGGGGAATTAAATGAAATAGAAGGACACTTGTGTTATATTTATTCTGAAGAGATTCACATGATCAGATACATACCACAATGCTGATCACATTCACCACATACACATACCCACCTCCACATTTTCCGCATTATAAAGGGCCACCATGGGAACAGGCCCCACCCAGAGTTTCAGCAGTGGCATGTGGCGGTATTCTTCTGTGTACTGGATTATCTGCTGAAAAAATTCTGGAAGAAAAATTTAAATTCAATCAAGACAAGAATTTTGTCAACAGTATTTTATGAATGTTCTTATTCTCAATTTGATAAATATACTAATTATGTAAGATGTGACCATTGGAGGAAGCTGAACAGAGGGCAGTGAGAATTCTGAACTATTATTGCAACTTTCCTGTAGGTCTAAAATTATTTCAAAACAATTTCTGCCACAGCAGATACATATAGCATGATGAATGCTAGCTCTTAAAGATTATTATTAGGTTTTGAGATGCCAATATGTGCTTTTATGTTTTTTTAAACCATTGCCTGTATTACAGAGCTAGTCGATGGTGGGACCTGGCTTTGTACCAAGACTCCAGAAGGTGCCATCGTAACCATTGCACCACACCTTTTCCAAATGTCTCTCCGATAAAAACAAAACAGTTGTCAAAATTGCTATGAAAAGGGATGGGTCAAGTCACCGGTTCAAGGCATCCTGCTTCACACTAACATATTGCCGGCCTTGGTCTGGTGTGGCAGAAGGGACAGGGAGGGCTGAATCTGTGGTCTGAAGGTATCAAGGCCACAGTCAGGAGTAACTGAGAAGGCAGACAGGGACACAATGGCCTGGAAAACACAAGATCGGGGTTTAAAGGACGACTGGAAGCCACTTGCAATATTCAAGGTGAGGTCACTGAGGCCGGCATTTAGACATCAGCCACAGAATGCAAGGTATAACCTCTTGTATATAAAACACAGGATTACCGAGACTATATCTTAGAATATTCTAATATCCCCAACTTTGCTCAAGGCTGGCGCAAAGAAGAGCCTCAATAAATGCTTGACTTACAGTGAAAGAATCTATTCTAATCACGTTCTAGATAGTGATCTAGAAACTTTGCATGCATGACATTTAGTCCTTAAAGTAACTCTGTAATGAGAGAGAGAGAGAGAGAGAGAGAAGGCGGGAGAACAGGGCAGGGGGTCAGGGGAAGAGGCTCTAATTTAGAGAGTTTCCAATGACCTCTCAAACAACTTGGTTGCAAAGCAGGAAATTGAGCAATCGCTTTCCTGAAGCCAAAATCCAGTACTTGTTGATGGAAAAATCCTTTTCAGAAAAGGCAGATATCGTCAGGCTCTTCATTCAGAAAGTAACTCCAAGTCCAATCGGCTCCCGGTTTGTCTTGAAACAAGTCTTATTCACTAGAGATTTTAATGCTTTAGGAATTCCCTAAAGAATATGTTGAGACTTCTTAAGTACATATCACTTTCCAGGGGTGAATAGTGAGGGGAAATCTGCATTCTACACAATCATTTGTTAATACCACAAGGCCTTAGGATAGAAGGGGTGGTTAGATCTGCTCGTATTAACTGGAATAATTTTTACTAATTTGATTTTCATATCTATCGGTGCTGTTGGATTACTTGTAACATCAGTCATATTGATATTTGGCTAGTGAAAAATTTACTCGGGTTCCTTCTGCCAGAAAATGTTTTAAATATTTTGGTAAACACTCCCCACGAAGACTCATGTCATTCCATGAAGTTGAAATGACAACATTATTTTTATTTGTGGAAACAGAAGTGAAAATGAAGTAATCCTTCGAGCTTTGGAGTTAATGCTTAACCTGTAGAATGGTTATTAACAATCCCAAGGGGAACTGGTTTCTAGTCTGGGTGCATTTAAAAATGCGTCATTTTGAGTAAATCTTTTCAGTTCTGGGCATTTCACTTTATACACTCATGAAAATGAAGTGCTGAGATCCAATCCACCTTCTCTAATGGAGGACTGCAAATACCAGGTCCTTTTGAGAACATTCTAACTTAAAGTGACTTTTTTGTTGTGAGTCGGAGTCTCACTCGGTCGCCCAGGCCGGAGCCGCTCCGGCCCCCGCAGCCTCCACCCGCGGGGCTCCGGCGATCCTCCCGCCTCCGCCTCCCGAGGAGGGAACGACAGGCGCGCGCTACCACGCCCGGCTGATGTTTTGACTGCTTGGAGGGAGGAGGGCTCGCTGCCCAGGCGGGTCTCGAGCCGCGGGCTCAGGCCCCCGCTCGCCTCAGCCTCCCCAGGGCGCGGGGTGACAGGCTGAGCCACCGAGCCCGGCTTAAAGCGATGTTTTTAGATCAGCGAAGCAGACGCCTGCCTCTTTTTCAACCCTGCACACTCTTTGATAAACAAAGATTTTGCCACTCGCCGAGTAAGTTCGCCCGAAGGCCCCGCGGCCGCCGTTTCCCGTCGTCACGCAGCATCCTCAAAAGGGCTAGAACCGGAAGGCCAGGAGGGAAGGAGCGGGTCCCGCCTGGCGACGCCGGGGCGGGGTCCTCGGAGGACT